AAAATACTATCGTCGTTCGTTTCGGTGTTCCTCTTCTATTGAATGAATTTTAAAAGATTTCATTTTACAACGCGAAATATTCGCGTTCTGCGATTCTAATGATTGGAAATAGCACGCGCTAATATATTACACTATGAGTGTAAAATTTCGACAATTTGACAATGAATTTTTTGTTTAATATTGTCTCGTTTTAATACACCCGAACGCAATTTATCCTATAATATTTAATCGCAGTATCGCAGTAACAAGAATAAAAGTTTGGACATCTAATTTAATCGAATCATATTTCATTTCAATTGATCTGTACAAAACTGTACAGAAGAAAGAAGAAAAATAAGACATTACATTCTTTGTAAAGTATTTCGATATCCTTTAAATAAAAAAAGAATTGAATAAAAAATATAATCGATTTTTAGTTAGTTGGAATTAAATTATGCACATTAATTATAATAGAATTTACTAAAGTAGTTATATAATATAATAAATAATATTCTATCTAGCAATATTGCATAATTGCTATGAAATTCAATTTTTATTCACAAAACAAAAATATTACGATATTATTATTATTAGCTATACAAATTAAATAAATATGATTCTACAACTGCAATATAGTGTATATGTGAATATAGAATGTTTTACTCTACGCTACTGTTCTTGGTACAGCCTTAGTTTCACGTAGTTACAAAAAATAATGCTCTGTTTTATTTTTAAAGGAACTCCCTGCTGAAATAGTAATAATTTTTTTGAAATATTTGCCGGTATACTTTACATTTTTGATCCCGTTTTATCATGATTCTTTTGAAATCTCTTGTGATCTTTCCTATATTTTTCAATCGTTAAATCCACGTTATCAGTGCTCGATAAGCTTAATGCCACAGGATCTAAACTTGCTGCAAGTTTTAAATAAGTTTCTTCCATTTCTTTAGTAATCTTGACTTCGTAATCAAAATCTGCAGTGACTCCTTTTTTTAATGTTTTAGGCAAAACTTTCTCCTCTTCAATTGGAATATCGAAAGATATTAAATCTTTCTCTTTTTCTAAATCAGTATTATTTACATCCAATGAAAAATTATTTACAGCATTATTTAAATTTCTGATTCCAAATTCTTGAATATCCATTATCAAACTGTTGCATTTATTTTCTGAAGAATTGTCATATGATTCTCGATTATTTTCAATTGATTTGCAATTTGTTTGGGACTCGTTTAAATATGTTAAAGAAAGACTTTTATTATCTATTATGTTTTCATTTGGTTTTAATTCCGTGTAATTTGATCCAGAATTATCCATGTGAACCGATGATTGAACCCATTCGGCTACTCTTTGTAATTGATTATTGTCATGTAACAACATCGGTGTGCTTTCTTCGCTACTAGTTGAAATTGATCTTTCAGATCCAGATCGAGACATTTTTTTCGAATGAACTAAAGCGGTATTTGGTTTATTATTTCCACTAGTATATAACACAGTTTTATAATGACCAGCATTATCTAAAAGAATATTCTTCGATCCAGGTGTTACTCTAACGAGACAATTCCTTGGACCAGTTATTCTATTTTGCGTATTAGGTTTCAAATTACCTAATGCATTATGCACACGCATTCCAGTTAATTGAACGACATCACTAGAACTACTGGAAGGATCGGAAGTTGAAATTACAATACTATCGCTACTAAAAGTTGGACTAGTGGCCACTTCTATTTGCCCAGAATCATTTTGATGTGCAACATTATCAATATTCTTAACTTCTATTAAAGTTAATTGCGTTGCATGTTGTGTTTCTTGAGTTGATCTATCATTTTTCCAAACCCTATCATTAATTATATCAATCTCAATATCACTGTTAACTTTGTCTTTGCTTTCTTTGTTAGTCTGTGATTTTAGTCTCGTCCATTCATTTTTCCATAATCTATCGTTAATAATATCGATGTGACTCTGCTCTTTTCTATCAAAGTAATTTTTACAATTTTCAGGAACTATATGACTACAATTAGAAGATTTCTTATCCAATTTATTCCAAGAATTTGGATTAAATTTACCATCAATTTGTAATTCACATTTTTTATTCAGTTTCGTTTGTTTTCCTTTATCAATATTTGTTTTACCATTAACACATGTATCATTAATTTTATAAGATATTACCTGTTTAGTCGTATTTTCGTTTTGATTTTGAAATATATTTTGATGTTGTGACGTATTGACGATATCATTATGACGTAATGAATTTTTTTTATTAAAATTAAGTTTTGTATTAACATTTACACGATTATCGTCTTTTAAACTGTCTATAATTTTACTATTTCTATTTAAAAATTTATCTTTTATGCATAGTTGTTGATGATTACTATTCTTTGTACAATTATTCTGATACTGTACTTTATTACTAACACTTTCATTTCCCTCATGATAGATTACATGTACCAATGAATTTTGACTTTCTTTATTTTGACAATTTTTATCAATATTTTTTAAATTATCAGAATGTTTCTCTATATTTTGTGCATACATTGTTGTACATTCATTACAAGAAAATACATTTGGCATGTTAGTTTGAGTTTCAGCATCAACCATTAAAATACTTCTATGGCAAGTACATGTATCGCAATGCTTTCCAAATACTCTTTCTTTTTCTCGATCTTCTAAAACTTTCGCCATTATCGCTGCCGAGACAACATCCACTGGTGGTTTAGATTCATCTGTTTCATCGTCACTATTATTTTCAACAGATTTAGTTACATTATATACCATTGCTGTTGGAGGAAATGTTGAAATTGGTACTGTGATACTTTTTATATCAGGAGATGTAGTATCATTAGAATGTTTCTTTTGTGCAATATATGTCCTAACTTTGGCTTGTACTTCGGAAGGTAACTAAAATTAATAATAATTTATTTTTATATATATTTTCTTTATATTTTAATTTATAAGTTTATAAAATGTAACTTACAGAATCATATTTTTGTCCAACAAAATTAGAAGGTTTACATTGAAGAAGTTGTATTGCCAAGTTTACATCATTCCTATATTTTTCCTAAAATAAAATGTTATCTATAAAAATTTTATTCACAATTCAATTTTAAATTATCAAAATTTTATATTTGAAATATAAATACATTATCTTGAGTTAAACGATGTATAGTATAATTTGCATCAGCTAATCTATGAGATAAAGTTGCAATATCCTTAGTAAATGCACTTTTTTCTGTTTCACATTTATCTACAATCCTCAATAATTTATCTTCAAGATTTTGATTTACTTTCTGAACACGTTTATGAGCCTCATATAATCTTGAATATTTTTCTTGCCAAATTAAAAGTTCTTCCTTCATAGAGGCTAATTCTCCATTTGGGAACTTGTCAGCTTCATTTAAAAACTGTGTCTCCATTGTTACAATATGATTATCTTTTTCTAATAAACGTTGACGTAAATTTTCTATTTCTACATGCAAATGCATTTCTCCATGTTGCTGATCATTTTGATTACAGCCCAGACATTTGCAGCCACATTCCTGAAAATTTAAAAATTTAATTAGTTTAAAAATAATTTTTATATATAATAGATAAAATATATTTTATATAAATATATATATATATATATATATATATAAAAGATATTAAAGATCAAAATAGACACACAGACATTTATTTCTTTCTAAATGAATTTGTATCATTTATTATTAATTGAAATATTTCTATTTTTCTGAATATATAATTTTATAACAGATGTTATAAATTTTATATATATTTATATTTAATTTTCAAAAAGATATTAATTATTAATTATATATAGTATTCACTTATTATTATTTATTTATTTAACATATGTATAACATATACTTACCTTACATTTTTCAGCCATCATGTAATATACAAATTATACAAAAAATATTGAAAAAATATTTATGAATAACGAGACTTCGAAATTGGAGCCTCATAACCCTGTTGTTCAATTCGAATAGAAATGTGGATAGTTTACATACGTTTCAATCTAATATATTTCCTCATAACATCATCAATTACTAAAGCAATTTTCGTGATGAGAATTGTTTTTATAGAATTACTAATATTTAAAGAAATATATTATTCCAATAAACTTTGAAGTGACAGATTGCAAAATTCTCTGTCGTCTGCCACACATCTAACTCGTTAAAGTATCATCAATTTTAAGATGGAGTTACAAATATTTATAATATTATAGCCATTACTTTTACGTTTTATGATGTGTTATAAATTTATTGGAAGAAAGAACTATTAAATGAAAAAAAGAAAATTTAAAATAAATTGCTGATAATGAAAATCGTACTTAATGCATATATTTAAAGGTAACCAATAGAATAACTTGCGAAATTCGAATCGTATTTCTTATTGGATATTAATACATATTACCATATTATATTATTTATTGTATACATGTAGAAAATTATAGGAATCAACACAATTTTGAAATTTAAAAAGTTTTTATTATATACAAAATTTTAAAATATACGCAAAATTTATAATAAAAAATGAAATATGATGATTAAATAAAAATTAAAGAAATTTGATTTGCAGAAATATTTATTAAGTGTTATTATAATTCGTACATAATATTTTTAATCATAAAAATGTTAATATTACAATAATTACTTCAAATATGTTTCATATAATATTTGCAAATATAACTTTTCAAAATCTTATGATATTTATAAAAAATGCATTACATGATAAAATACATAAGCCAAAATATAATAAAGACGAAATATAAAAAAAATTGTTTCGATTATATTGTATCTCCAAAAACAATAAATATTAATATATATAAATACAATAGAATAAAAAGTAATTTGCAATCAATAATACGGTTTTATTTGTTATGATTTGTTTTTTAGTACAGATATATGAATCTTTCTAAAATGTTTAAAAATTTTATTTATAGTTGATTAGTAATTCTATAAATTTCGATTATATGATACTAAAAGTAAAAAGGTTGTACAATCAATGATTTGTAAGTATTTTGCTTGAATGTGTAATATAGTTTTTATTGGATAACACGAAACAAAGTATTGAACAGAGATATATATTTGAAGTTATGAAAAAAATGCGAAGATCAGTATGGTTGTAGAACAGGATTATAGTTATCATTGCATAATTATGCAAAAAGTAGTTTTATAACATATGACACAGCAGTGATAGAATATATGCATATGTTTATATAGTGCCTTACCCTACAATCGAAATGATCCAAACATTAATGCTAATATCAAATCTGTTTTTTTTTTTTTGGATACATTATTTGACACGATTGTAAAGTACACTCTTAATAATTCTTGATAAGAGAATATATAATAATGACATATTAAATTTTTTTCTATATATTAATTATACAAAAACAAAAATTTTAAATTGAAAATTGATATTTTAAATTTTTTCTTAATACTGTGTAAAGCATTTTTTTTGTTTTTTTTTTTTGAAAATGATATAAAGGTTTTTAATTTTTTTTTTTTTATGCCAAAGCACTATTCATTTGTAAATGTTAATGCCTAACTCTCATATACTTAAGAAGTTACAGATATAAAAGAATTTTTTATATAAAAGGGAATATATTTTTTTTTGCCCAAAATGTATGTAATTTCTTTCTTGTCAAGACTGCAAATGTACATTAATACTACATGTTTTATCACATGTTATTCAAATATAGACTTCTTATAAAAAAATTGTTTCTGAACATTTTCTATTATTAGAAAATGTTATTATATGGAGCATAATATTTCTTTTTTTTTTTTTTTTTATATCATGAACACAATTAAAAAGTTTGGAACATTTCAAATGTTGAGCATCATATATATTAATAAAAGAATATGTCCGAATGCAACATTGCTTAACTCTACATATACATTATATCTATATTCATATAGAATTTTTATACCTTTCATAACAACAAAATGACTCTTTCTGAATAAGTTTTAACAAATTGAACACAAAAATCATCTACAATACAGCAAATTTCATGCATATATTAAACAATGCTAAATGTGAAACATGAAAGTTGCAAAATTTATACTACATATTTGATTAAAATTCTTCCTAACACAGTCTGTTCAATAATATTTATGTTGTGTCTGGTTATATCATTAGAAATTTATCTAAGGACACTAAGTATATCTAGCGATAATACTCCAATTTGTGTCATCAACTAGATTTATATTATGTAATAGATGGTAACAACTATACTATGCAATTTCAATTTTTCACATTACCATCAATTTTAATAGGTTAAAACATTAACGAAAACTTTTTAAAATGATTTAACCACATAAATTAATAATCTACTAATAAAATATAGTGCATACTGCATTTGACATAGTCCATATAAAGTTTATATGTTATGCGCCAATGAGATAACAATATATTTGCACAAACGTAATTCTTAAAAATAAATCTCACATTAAAATCACGTAAATAAAGTGAAAGTTATCTTTATGAATAATTCTATGTTACAACATAAATTGAAAAAAATTGCACACTTTAGATACTAATAATATTAAAACGTTCGTGCACGTGTGAAAGGTTCAAAAACCAAACAATATAGTGTTCAAATTGAAGATTAAAGAATATGATTATTATTTAGATTGCGAGATATGATATATATATTTACACAAACATATCTGAATAAAAGAATGTAAGTAAACAGCAATACATAGAAGTATTAAAGAAATTAACTATTGTAACTCTCAGAATACTGCATGAAATGAAAATTAAAAAATTAATATATTTTAGTTGGTTTTTGAGTCCTTCATACATAAGTAATTCCCAAATAAAAATCAAGCATGTATTTATGATGTTAACAAAGCAAGAGCATAAATTACTATAGAGTTATAAATTGTCTACAATATACAAGATTGAATGTACACAACATCTGTATTAGTATGGTAGAATTAAAGTTTCAACTGCAATAAGCTATAGATCTATTAACATCAAAGATGTATATTCTTAAGTGCTAAGTTTTAGTTGTTTTGCTTAAAAACCATAAGCCCAATATATATTTTTATATTGAGCATAATTAAAATAAACATTCATTTTTGTAAATGTATGTTAATTATGAAATTCATGCGTTTGTTAATAATCATCTAACATAAACGATTATTAATAGAATCTCTACTGGAGGCAGTATGTTTACATAACAGGTATGGTGTGCTTCTTTAAAGCAAAAATATTTTAAATTTCTTTGCACCATAAACCTGCAAATTCAAAAGAGGTATCGTTCTTCTATTCGTTAACGCAATACAACAATATACACATACAATAAAAGATAAAGTTGTTGATTTGAACTCGTCAAACATCATTCTCAAATCAGTATTACTAGAATTTCAAAGCTTACATGGTTTGTCAATATTGTTATAAGACATTATTATCTTAACAAGTTGGTATATTATATCTCTAAATTCTCTATTTTTCTGCATTATAACAATACTGAAAAATAAGGCGAACTTTGAAGCTCCAGTCTTTGTGAATACACTAGATATATATATACACATTAAAGAAAAAGTTCTTTGAAACTTTTTCTTTCTATTACATGACAGAATTTCATGAAATGTTTATTTAAAGAACTGAGATCGCCTATACGAGGCATTAAAATTTATTACATATAATTTAAAGAGGAATTGTATCCAATTTTGGAAATTCATTTAAAATCAATACTGCTCCCTCTTGAAATACCTATAATCTATTTTCTATTAAATCCTTTTTTTGAGGATTAATCAGAAAAAGTGTCACAAGTGATATGACATTTTTTTGTCTTAGACATCAATGACTTAATTCATTCTAATTAAATTCTGTCTAATCTATTATTTTACAAGCAACCTTGCATCCGGAATTAAACATCTATCATCCAATTAATTATTTATATATAACATGTAATAATGCAACATTTCTCGTCATAAAAAATCGTAAGCCTTAGTCGTAATTCGAACAAGGTCATTTGTAATTACAGAATGGGAAATTTTCGTCACTGAAATGTTAATAAATCTGTTCCTAATATAAAAATGTTCACATTAAATTTTTTAAGAATACAATATCAATAATAATATTAATAATAGCAAGATATTTTTAATATCACTATAAATATATGTATACTTTCATATTAAAACAAATTTTTTAATTATTAAAAGAATTTTGGAATTTCTTTTTTCTTTTATGGGAAGGAACAGATTTTTTAACTACTTTCATAGGGAGGGATCGTTTATACTTTAAGAGCAGCTTTGGGAGACCAATGATGGAAACGGGCAGGTCCTGTAGGGTAGGAAGGTGGATGAATCCACTTGTTTCCTCTATGACCCATAAAAGGAGGTGGAGATGGACCACCCAAAAAATGAGGAGGCATAATATTATACCATGGTTGACTTATTGGATGAGGACCATAGCCCATACTGAAGGAGTGACCAAACCAGGAACGATTTCTATTAAGGTGTAACCTTGGGCTGTTTAGGTTGCGTTTCCTACCTGTACCATTATTGCTATGCTGTTGATTTTGATTAGCAGAGCTTAGTGGTTTTGATTTTTGTTGCTGATCTGTATTAGTAGTCAAAGGGGATTTCTGTAAAATATAAAAATTGTTAGTATTTATTTAATTTTTTAAATTATATTATTTTAACACCAATAAAAAATGAAATATAAACACAATGTAATATATGATGTAATATATCAACCTGTATCTTAGTCGGCCCCTCAGATTGTTTATTTTCTTTTTCTAATCCTTCATTATTTCCTTGAAAAATTGGTACAGTATTTTCTTTATCATCAAATGATGCTAAAGTACAATATGACCCTTTGCTCTCTCCAAATCGGCAGCAAACTTCATTAGGATCAACCCAAAGCGTTAATTCTACTGGTAATGATAGATCTTCATATTTTACTCCAGCAGCATTAGCTGCACTTTCTAAAGTTGCATCCCTCCGATTATGACCATTTACACGAATACAACGATAACCTTGACCTTTGAATGGTTTGTCTGGAAACCAATGATTTTTAAAACGTTCCGTCAACAATTCCACCAAACGTCGTTTAAAACATTCCAATTGATCAGGACTAAATTTTTCGTTTTTTTCTATCAGCTGTACTAAGAATAGTACTGCTGCAGTAATCTCGTTGCGCATGTTGCCTCTGTCGTACACCAAGTTTATAATTTGCAGATGAAATCCTTCTTTGATGTTGTGATACAATATTCTTGAAAACTAAAGTATCATTTGCTGAAGCTGATGTGGAGCACATAGAGCCCTTCTGCACTGCAGCAATGCTTAAATTTTATATTTATATTTTGTATATTTAATATGATCTATGATGTGTTTTTTCTTCTGTTTTTATTTAAAAAACAGCTTCTACTAAGTTATTTTGCTCCTTCTTTGGTATACACAATTTATTGAAATTATTTTTATTCTCACCTGAAATTATATAAAAATTATTAATAAAGAACTATTTATTAAAAATAACTATATACTAAAAATATTACAAATATGCATACTTATTAATATTTTATAAATAAAGATAAATTAAAGAAAACAACTTTTCTAAATAAACAAACTTGAAAATAAATTCACATATATATCTATAAGAACTTTGTTTATTTGTTTCTTTAATGATCAAATTAAAGAAAATATTTAAATAAGCAAATTTTGATAATATTATATATATATGACTTGTTGCATTAAATTATTAATATATATGTAAATAGATTTAACAACCGATATCGTTTCACAATAGAACTACACAACAATATGTTATGGGTATTAATTAGGTTATAAACCATAACTCAGGTTAGGAAAATCATTTAAAGACGCAAGATCGACAATTTACACCGCATTTACAACGATTAGTAATCAGAAACAATACAGACGGCATCATTATAAAATATATTAGATTTCAAGAAACGATTGTTCCGAAATAATGAGCACAACGAATTATGCCAGCTCATTCTTGTCGTACCAGGTCGTGCCGTGAGCGATTGTTCCTGAAATACCACAACTCACAGTCTTGGTGATTATTTATTTATCGTAATATTTCATTGCTATTGCAATTATATTTTTATTCAATATACTTAAAAATTTAATACTAATATTAAATTGACCTTACGAATCAGTGACGAAAATTCCGTGTTTCTGGTGAAACTACTACGTCTTCTCTCTCTTTAAATAAACGTACTCGACCCAACACGTGTTACGTTGCATCAATGTCCATGAAGTATGTAGAAAAATATAGACTTTCTACAGTTACTTTTATATTTGTAAGTTTATAAATATAGAAAAAAAAAATAAAATATTATAAAATCACTTTTAAAATATTAGAAAATAATAATTTACAATGTTTTACGATCACATAATAGAATTCTAGATTTTGAAAAAAGTTTAAATTATTAAAGAATGTTTTGTCTTCCTTGAGATTTGAAATTATAATTCTCACATAAAAAACGTTTTTCATGCGAAAATTAAAAAATTAATAAGATTTATAAAACTTTAAAAAATTTTAAACTTTGATTATTAATATTGAATATAAATAGCGTAAGAATCGTATACTAAAAATGTTAATCAAAATTGAAAAAGTTTAAAACATTCTTAAATCTATCAAAATTCAACTTGTTGCTTACTTCTCAATATATTTGATACTACTAGCATAAACAAGACACAAATTAGATCTACCATTTTACGAGATTTTGTGTCTCATGTTTTGAAATATTCATCGCAAAATATTAGGTTGTTTAGTATGTTTTTTACGATTTAAAGTGATTAGTGCAGAAATTACATTTAATTCAGCCACAGAAATTAGTAAAAGAAACAAGTAAAAGTACTTCTTTTGTTATATTCTCATATTCATATATAACCATCGATATATATACATACATATAGAATGAAAAGAAATCATTTATTCACTTGAAATATTTCATTTATGATTTTACTTTTTGATAATATTAAAAAATTTGAAAATTTTTTATATTCTTTTATATAGAAAATATTGATTTGCATCAACTAATGTACTAAAAAATATATGATATCACATAAAAAAACTGACAATTACAGATTCTTAACGCATTTATTAACGAAAAAATTAATAATATTATATGCTTGAAACTATTTAATTTTTAGAATATTTTTTAATATTATCAACAACATATTCCTAATAATCAGTTCAATTTATATATTATTTATATTCATAAAATCTTTATAATAAAAAATATTATAAAGAAATGAAATTCGATATTATAAAAAATAGCATTTAGTAAAAGATTAGTAAAAGATAAATATATAAAATATAATTAAGATAGATAATAATATATAAACGATAAATAATTTCCACTTAAGAAAAACTGAAAAAAAATGTTCATTAAAAAAAACATATATGAAATAAATATCTAATGATAAATATCTTTTTTTTGATAGTTTTCTTAGAAATAAGAAAATTATCAAAAAATGTAATATCCCAAAAAATAATAAAATTAAAAGATAAATATATTTCGATAAATATATAAAATTAAATTGAAAATTTTTATTTTTGAAAATATAAAAAAAATTTTGCGTGCCACTTCTTGTTCTATTATATTCTCCTAATATAAAATCGAAAATTTAGTTAAAAATTTTTATATTTAATATTTTTTAAAAAATTTTGCGTGCTACTTTCTGTTGAATTATTTTTTTTTAATTTATTATTAAATTTCTAGCATTAAATTTCTGTTCAAATTATATTCATTTTATAACTGAAGAATATAATTCGAGAAGAATATAACATGTTAAAATTTTCTAAAATTTATTTATATTTAATTTTTATATACTTACCTTGTATACTTACTTCTTTAAAATGTTAGAATTAAAAATTTTTTGATCATTTTACTTAATTCTGAAATTTGACATACTTACCTCTTTTAAGCTGTCATATTTTCTAGAATTAAACATATACAAGGTGTTAATATATTCGTGGAATATATCTTTGGAAAATCGATTTTATAGATTTATTCATTAAACTTACCTTTTGAAATTTCGATTCCTGAAGTTTATTTATTAAGTTATAAGCAATTAAGTTTGCGTTAGATAAAATAAGACGGAAACAAAATGAACTGATGTAACGAAGATAAAGTTGTCTCATTAACATTTATAACTTTCACAACTTTCACAAGATTTATTCATTTACTATTTTATAAATTTTATTATATGTTACTGAAAATAAATAATTATCAATCGTAATTCAAAAATTTAAAATCGTATTTAAAAACAACATGGTTTTATATGTACATGATCGTATATTTTTAAATAGTCGTTGACAGTTAATCTAAATAGATGTTAATTTTAATAAGAAATTAAAATCAATATTTAAATTATGATTTATAAATATATATTATCATTAATTTATATATGTAAATTAATATTTATTAAATGTATTAATAATTCATATGTATATTTTTGACAATAAATATAATTAATATAAAAATTTCATTTTAATTGCTTCTTATCTACATGAAGATATGTCCTAAATTTGCGAATAACTTTTTTAATTTTTAAAAATTTTATTTATAGTAAAATATTATCATAAATTTCGAAGAACGGACTTAATGTATATATTGAATATGAATATATTCAAATATAAATTAAATTTATTAAAAAGGCAGTATATTTTTCAATTAACAAAAATTTATGCATTTCGGAACAAATAAAATGCAATCTGCAACGATTTTTTAATGAAATGAATATTAATATTTATATGGAATTGATATGATGTAATGTAAAGTAATATTTTTAATAAAATATTTTTTAATAAAAATTACAGTGATATTTCAAAATAAAATATTTTAAAATTATATAATAATTAAAAATAAATCTTGCATAATGGATATCATTATGGATATTTTGTGATTTATTATTACAAATTGATACTTTTTTAAATATTATATCGTGCATAAGATATGAAGTGAAAAAATTATTTTTTTATTCAATAGAGTAATAATCATAAATTTTTTATAAAAATAAATATTAGAGACAAGTAAAAAAAATATATTTTTGAAAAATAAATATAATCATTATCGATTTCAAATTAAATTTGAAATTAGACACTATCTTATTTAATAACATCAAAAAAGAATAATAAAAAATAATTTTAATATTAAGAAAAAATTAAATGATTTTAATGTTACATTGAGTGTAGTGAATGAAAAAATAAAAATAAAGAAAAAGAAATAATATGTGTATAATGTGTATATAAAAAGAATATAATTTTTATAAAAAATATTTTAATTTTTCAAAAAAGTTTAATTATTTATTTGTTGTAAATTTTTTTAAAAGTTTTATTGAGGACTCTTAGGAAAACTAAGAAAACATTTATTGTAATCATATTTCATTATAATATTAAAAGATTAGCAAATCAATAAATACATTATAAAAAAATTAAAAACTAATTTAATATATAAATTAATAATCTCTATTATACAAAAAATATTAACTAAATATCATAGATATTTACAAATATTTGATGAATTAATAAAATATAATCATTATTTTAATCAATATAAAATGAAACTTTAAAGAATTAGAAAAATTAAACATTATTAGAAAATTAAAAACATTATTAGAAAAAACAAATTATTATTTTGAATAATAATGATACAGAAACTATTAATTAATATGATATTTTATAACTTTTTCATTTTTGTATAATTATAAGAAAAAAATGTATGTACACATCTTACAAATGTTTTTTATTTAAAAACCATATTTTGATTGAGTTTGTTTCCTTGTCAATCTATTTTGTGCCCATTGATTCTTCAATTCCATTTCCATTGCTTTAGCTTGATGTGCTAAATATGTTATTTGATGTTTCTTTTTAGATTGAGAACTTACTCCACCACCTTGCATAGATATTGGTCTTTGTATAGGCTCTTCTGTTAATGCTTTTATTAACCATTCTCTTTCATCTGGTTTAATATCTTCTCCATTTATTTCTATAATATTTGCTTCTTCAATTTCTTTAGGTTTCCGTTTCACACCTCTTTTTCCACAAAGATATTCAATAGCCTTGTCATCAAAAGCTACATTACCTTCTGTGTCTATATTATATTCTTGTTCAGGTACTGGTAACTTTGGACCTATTTCTGTTTTATTTTTTAATAATATTTCTTCCTTTGGTAAATCTATAACATTACTTAATGATGTTTTTTGAGATTTATTTGTACATATTTTTTTTATATCAATTTTAGAACTAGTAAAGTATTTAAACAAATCATTTTTATTTGGATTATTTTTAAATTCTAAATCAGAATTATTTAAATTTATATCAGTACTCAGAGAATCTGATAAAATATTTGAAACAGTATCATTTTGTGTTAGAGCAAAAAAATCTGTAATAGAATTATTATCCTTATCTATAATTGCTTCACTTTCATCATCTTCAGAATTTGATTCATGAGTTACATTTATGGAATTTGCTATTATAGATTTGCTATTATAGGTTTTTATATTAGAGGTTTTTATATCTATATCTTTAATAAGTGAAACTTTTGTTTGATTAGTTTCTATAGTAGATTTAATAACAGTAGGTATCAAATTATTAGAACTTTTAATGTCAATTCCTTTAGGTGGAGGTAACAGTGCAAAAAGTTTAGTACCTTTCTGAAAATACATATACATATATATGTATATATATATATATCTATTTTTTATTTTCTTACAAAAATATGAATATTATGATAAATACTTACATTTGATGGCTTTAGTTTATTACATTTAGGCTCATTTTCCTTTTGAGTATCTACAAACTTTAAATAAAAAAATGTATTAATTTAAAAAAAATAAAATATTACATACATATTACATTTATATAAAAATTTCTTACTTCAGATAAAGAAGGCACCATTATTTTAACTGGTACTCGATCCTTTTTTACTGATTTTCCAGATTTAAATTCTTTTTTCAAAGGAATATCATCTTCTTCTATGATATTATTTATTTCCGTAATGAAAGTTTTGGGTTTAGGTAATTTATTAAATTGTATTTTTTCTGATGATTCGTTTGTCTTAGGTCCTTCCAGTTCAATCACATTATTTTTATCATTTTCTTGTTGAAAAGTATTATCGTTTGAAATTGATAAACATAACTTATCATTTGTTTGTAGAACTGTAACTTCTGATGTAATTTTATTTTCATTTTCTACATTACAATTATTTCTTTCATCATCTGAACTTTCAT